CGTCACTAATCGTGAAGGGCCTTTTTGTGATAAGTGACGTCTTCACGGAATTGCAAGAACCACAGACGTCTGACTGAAAATTAGAATGATGTAAATTGATGCTATCAGTGTCTCTGATACACATAAAAAATTTAGAAAACCTCTTTACAATCTCTTTAACAAGAACCACAGACGTCTGATTGAAAATAAGAATGATGTAAATTGATACTATCAATGTCCATGATACACATAAAAAATTCAGAAAACTTCTTTACAATCTCTTTAACAAGAACCACAGACATCTGATTGAAAATTAGAATGATGTAAATTGATACTATCAGTGTCCATGATACACATAAAAAATTTAGAAAACTTCTTTACAATCTCTTTAACAAGAACCACAGACGTCTGATTGAAAATTAGAATGGTGTAAATTGATACTATCAGTGTCCCTGATACACATAAAAAATATAGAAAACCTCTTTACAATCTCTTTAACAAGAACCACAGACGTCTGATTGAAAATTAGAATGGTGTAAATTGATACTATCAGTGTCCATGATACACATAAAAAATATCAGAAAACTTCTTTACAATCTCTTTAACAAGAACCACAGATATCTGATTGAAAATTAGAATGGTGTAAACCTTTTTACAATGCCTATGATTTATAAAATACTTTATATATAGAATAGAATTAAATAAGATTAAAAATTAGTGACAGAAACATGATGAAGCCATGACACATCAAAAAGAATGTGTAATTGATGATGTGTTTTAAATGTTTTAGGAATTTAACCCATCTTCATTTAGAAGTCCTGTGCCTGTGCTTTCGTAACTCTGTCATTAGTACATAGTTCAAAGAATGTTTTAAAAAAATGTGAAATTTGATGATAAAAAATTGTGATTTTGGAATTTCTAATTTATACAAAATAGTTAATAATGAAAATTATAATTGAAGTTTGACCCATTTTAAAGCCTGTGTCTGTGCTTTCGTAACTCTGTCATTAGGTCAAAGAATGTTTAAAAAAATGTGTTTTAAGTGTTTTGTGAATTCATAATTTATAGAAAATACTTAAAAATGAAAATTATAACTGAAGTTTGTCCCATCTTAAATTAGAAATCCTGTGTCTGTGCTTTCGTAACTTTGTCATTAGTTCAAAGAATGTCTAAAAAAAAATGTGGTTTAAGTGTTTTGTGAATTAATAATTTATAGAAAATATTTAATAATGAAAATAACACAAAATCTGAAATCTGACTAAAAAAAAAAACAAGTATGACCAATTTCAAAGAATGTCCAAAAAAAAATGTTTTGAGAAATTTCTACTTTATATAAAATATTTTATAATGAATCTTATAAATGAAAATGTCATGAAATTTGACTGAAATAAACAGGTATGACCAATTTCAAGGAATGTCAAAAATATACGTATATATAGGTGTAAAAACGACAACGATATTACAAAGAGAAAATACAATCACAGTAAGTTAAGAGTGGGCTGTTAGGTTGTATACGGGGCATATCACTTCTAAGGCCTTACCTGTTTCGTTATTGAATCTTAATTGAGGTACACCTAGTCCAAATATTATCCACAAGACACAACACTGAATATAAGTCCGGGCTGCCATTCTTAAGGTCTTTTGACAACTTTAACACAAGTTTTTAACGAATATCAGTCATTTCGTAACACTTATTTTACAATTTTCCACACAGTACGAAGGACATTTATCACAGTAATATCACCGTTATACCGTTATCAACCAGTTCGACTGAATATACTCCACTACGCATGTGCAAACTGATATACCCTGTTATATAGTAATGGTGAACACAACGCGTGGTTCGAGAAGATTTCATGTAAAACGACTCACTGCGTAAATCCCCCGTCAAGTTTTAACACGGTATACGATCATTTAAAGGAATTGTGAAGAGGTTTTCAAAATTTGTTTGTATCACATGAGGCCCTCTGCGATTAGTGACGTCATCAAAACGTTTAGTTTTAGTGGAATTGCAAGAACCACAGACGTCTGATTGAAAATTGGAATGGTTTAAATTGATGCAATCAGTGTCCCTGATACACATATTTTTTTTTGTTAGAAAACATTTTGATAATCTCTTTAAAGGGACAGATGCGCCATTTTTTTGACCAATCATACCTTAGTTTCAGAAACAGGATTTTTGTAGTTAAGCCAATCCGTAATAGTGTTCACTGCTCACAGTCCAAATTTGAGCCTTCAAATCCATGTGTGTCTAGAATTATCTACAGTTTGAATATTAAAATGACGACTCGTCTTTCTTGAGACACTGTCATATATAGAAAAGACATCTATAGAAATAGGAAAAGAAATTCCTAGTTTGAGATATTTTCGAAGGAATTACGATGTTCAAGTACTTCTGAAGATTATTTACATATATTCAACACTCAAATCAACCCCTCGAAAATGGCGCATCTGTCCCTTTAAGTAAGACCTTATAAACATAAATAAGGGTAGACTAAAAATGATTTACAATAAGTTATAAGACTCTTATGAAATAATCCTTTTACAAAACAAAATACCTCTAATTAAACCTCATATTTTCTTTTTTCACCAAATTAGCCATTTCAATTCAACTTAAGTTAAATCCCTTCAAAAATTATTTAAGTTAATCCGTTTAAATCTCTTTAGTGAACCAAAGCATGTATTGTGATTTTTTTAAGGGGGACGAGAGGGGACAGAAGCCCCCCCACCCCTCGCAGTCCCGAGGGCAAAAATCTCATAACTAGGTTGGAAATTCGGGCAATCTCAGATATTTCGCCCCCTCTCCCCTCGGACGTAAATCTGGCCCCACCACTGCAAACATGCCCGACATAGATCTGCCAAAAATGACAATAAGCATAAGAAACCGAACAGGGGATTTGGATCGAGGTATTGATCTGTGTTTACAGTATTGTCGTTAAGGGGACAAAAGGGGGGCAGGGACCACTAGACTTAAGTAGGCCAGGACCATCCCCCGGGAATATTTTTTACATGTCCCTCCAGATATATTACTTCCCCCTCCAGATATGTTACTTGCAACTCCAGATATATTACTTGTCTCTCAAGATATATTACTTGTCCCTCCAGTTATATTACTTGCCCCTCCAAATATATTACTTGTCCCTCCAGATATATTACTTTCTCCTCCAGATATATTACTTGCAACTCCAGATATATTACTTGCCCCTCCAAATATGTTACTTGTCCCTCCAGATCTATTACTTGCCCATCCAGATATATTACTTGTCCCTCCAGATATATTACTTGCCCCTCCAGATATATTACTTGCCCCTCCTTCAATCAAGTCTGGCTACGGACCTGTATCGTTTCTACACCTATATGAGTCCATAAGAGGCGTACGACTATATGACGCCTCCACAGAAGTTGCCGCATTTTGAATTCAGCTTCGGCAATTTTCCCCAACCGAGTCAATCTACCCCTTATTCCCATCCCTAGTCTTGTGAGGCTGACGACGGCATTGAAGATGCGAAGGATCTTGATAATTTGACATTTCAAATAAGATTAAATAATTGTGTAGGGACTCAAAGGATTTGCTTAATAATCAAATAGATCATAAAAACTTTGGTAATGGTTTAAAAGTGTAGGATTAGTCGCTGATATTTCAACTTATCTGACATTTCGTCATCAGGCAATATCGTGTGGGATGCGAAATATTGCAATTCTCGACTGAATTCCTTGTTTTTGATCTATTAGTCCATTCAAGGCTTTGGTCAGGCTTGAGCAACAGGGGGTAAGAATGAGGGAGGGATACAGGTGCGGGTGGGGCAAAGCAATGGATTGGCCCAATGAAAAACTTCTAACAACCGACTAATTTCATTAACTAAAGAACATACAACGGAAGAACTCTTTCACCAACTCCCTTATGAATTCATGTTTTTGATCTAATGGTCCATTCAAAGCTATGGTCAGGCTTGAGTTACTGGGGGGTAAGCAAGAGGGTGGGTGGGGCAAAGCAATGATTACCCCTGTGAAAAACTTCTGACAACCGACTAATTTTATTTCTTCAGCTATAGACCATACAACGGGGAAACTCTTTGACCAACTCCCTTATGAATTCATGTTTTTGATCTAATGGTCCATTCAAAGCTATGGTCAGGCTTGAGTTACTGGGGGGTAAGCAAGAGGGTGGGTGGGGGTGGGGCAAAGCAATGATTACCCCTGTGAAAAACTTCTGACAACCGACTAATTTTATTTCTTTAGCTATAGAACATACAATGGGGGAACTATTTGACCAACTTTCTTATGAATTCCTGTTTTTGATCTATGGTCAGGCTTGAGCTACAGGGGGGTAAGCAGGAGAGTGGGGCCCAGCCCCCACGGAC